CGATGAAGGAACATGTTGAACATGTACGTATGGTGTTGCAACGCATGATTCAACATCGTCTGTACGCCAAATTAGAGAAGTGTGAATTTCACCAGACACAGATCGCCTTTTTGGGATACGTCATCAGTGCAGAAGGGATTACCATGGATGATACGAAGGTACAGGCAGTTCAACGATGGCCGTTACCCCAGAATCTCAAGGAGTTGCAGCGATTTCTAGGTTTTGCCAACTTCTATAGACGGTTTATCAGAGGCTTTAGTTCAATAGCCGCACCATTAACAGCCATGACCAAACGAAATTCCCACAAACTATCCTGGTCCTCTGAAGCACGCCAAGCATTTAGCGATCTGAAGACTCAATTCACCACAGCTCCTATTCTCCGTCATCCCAACCCAGACCTACCTTTCATTGTGGAAGTGGATGCATCCAACACAGGAGTCGGTGCTGTGTTATCTCAACGTCAGGGTCAACCATCCAAAATGTATCCATGTGCCTTCTTCTCCCGTAAATTGACCAGCGCAGAACGAAACTATGATGTGGGAAATCGCGAATTACTGGCAATGAAATTAGCCCTGGAAGAATGGAGACACTGGCTGGAGGGGGCTAGTCAGCAATTCACCATATTAACTGACCACAAGAATCTGGAATATCTTCTCTCAGCCAAACGTCTAAATCCCAGACAAGCTCGTTGGGCTTTGTTCTTCACCAGATTCGACTTCATTGTCACCTATAGACCAGGGAGTAAAAACAGTAAGGCAGATGCACTATCCAGGCTATCAGAGGATAAAACCCCAATTAGTGATGAAACCATTATTCCTACGAACTTACTAGTGGCTCCAGTACAGTGGGACATACTTACCGAGATCCAAGAGGCCAACCGAGAAAACAACCCTCCAGTAGACTGTCCGAATCACCTGATTTTTGTACCCAATAACATACGTACCAGATTACTGACCCATATTCATGACACTCCCAGTTCGGGGCATCCAGGCATCACTGCAACTTTGGAGTTAGTCAAAGCCCGTTTCTGGTGGCCGTCCCTCACGAAGGATGTAATTAATTATGTTCAGAAATGTAAAATTTGCCAAAGCACGAAGGCATCTCACCAAACCCCTGCTGGCCTGTTACAACCGCTACCGGTTCCGCAACGGCCCTGGTCCCATATAGCGGTGGACTTCATTACGGATCTCCCTGTTTCCCAGAACAACACAGTCATTCTCACGGTGGTTGATCGTTTCTCCAAGGCTTGTCGCCTAATACCGTTGCCCAAATTGCCCTCTGCCTTTGAAACCGCAGAAGCCCTGTGCAATCATGTATTTCGAATGTTTGGCTTACCTGATGATATCGTCTCAGACAGGGGATCCCAATTCACTTCCCGGGTATGGTCCGCTCTCTGTAAAAATCTAAATATTAATGTTAGTCTCACCTCAGGGTACCATCCTCAATCCAACGGCCAAACTGAACATATGAATCAAGAAGTCATTCGATTTCTACGTTCCTACTGTCATCAGCAACAGCACGACTGCAGTCGCTATCTGATGTGGGCAGAATATGCACAAAATTCATTAATAAAGCCAGCCACGGGTATTACGCCATTCAAATGTATTCTTGGCTACCAACCACCCCTGTTTCCATGGTCCGGAGAACCCACTGAGTTACCTGCTGTCACGGATTGGCTGCAGCGGAGTGAGGATGTCTGGAACCAGGCTCACAGACATCTCATGAGGGCAGTCAGGAGGAGAGAGATTCAGGCGAACCGTCACCGACGCCAGGGACCCACGTATCAACCGGGGCAGTGGGTGTGGTTGTCGACACGAGACCTTCGTCTGAGATTGCCCTGCCGCAAACTCAGTCCCAGGTATGTAGGGCCATTCAAAATTGTACGCCAGATTACTCCAGTGTCTTTTCGCTTAGCCTTGCCTAATCATTATCGTATTTCTCCTACTTTCCACATGTCATTACTCAAACCCGCTGGTGGTCCACGAGAGGAGGCGGTTGAGGAGGAATCGGAAACCAGGACCCCTCCACCTGTCATGATCGAGGGCGAGGAAGCTTACCTCGTTCGAGAAGTGCTGGACTCTCGACGTCGGGGTGGCGCCCTCCAATATCTGGTGGACTGGGAAGGGTACGGTCCAGAGGAACGGTCCTGGGTGAATGCTAGAGATATTCTAGACCCAACTCTCACGGAAGAGTTTCATCAAAGGTTCCCAGAGAAACCAGCCCCCCGACAGCGCGGTAGACCCCGGCGTCAGGTGCCTTCTCGCTTCAGGAGCCGCTCGCAGGAGGGGGGTTCTGTTGTAAATGAGGGCGATGCCAACCCTCTTGTGCACCACCAGAGGGAACCATCGCCAGAATTCTGATTCGACTCACGGACTCAAAATCCCATAAGCCCTGCTACCTGGCACTGATTACGGTCCAGGTGCAACTCATCAGCTCTTGTGTATATATACCACACTCACGCTCCGGTTCGTTGCGAAGTCTTGATTTGCCTGGCTGTCATTTCTGAGCGTTCCATACTCCCTGCTTCGGACTGATCTGTGTTTCTGACCCTGTGCTTGTTCTACGATTACGAAAGACATCTGCCTGCCCCTGATCTCCAGCCTGTTATTCTGACCAGTAAGATATCTGCCTGCCTTTGAACTTTTGCCTGTCCCACGTTCTGTCTCCTGGATTGCCCCGTTGTGTTTGTTTGTATGTGTGCTCTTAATAAAGCTTGCAAATGGATTCAATGCCTTCTGACTCATCACAACAACTACACAGCTCAATCTATGTATGCCGATTTTTTTTATATTTTTTAAATAAAAAAATTCACTTCATAACATATTTTCTATAATTCAAATATGTTTGCTTTGCTGTATCTTAGATATCAAGGCCAACACGATCAGTCACCTCTATTGATGAGCACTCGCAACTACAGCTGTCACTCAAAAGCACTGGTACTAAAAAAATGTGTAATCATATCGTTTTAAGAGCCAGGGTATCGCGATACTTTTTAAAAATTGGTATATCGTACAACATTGGTTCATAAAATGCCTGAAGAAGATTTTAGCAGACTAGTCATTGTTTTAGCAGCCCTGGCTCAAAATGTGGCATTTTTGCTTCTTGAAGCAAACATATTTTGCAAAGTCATTGTAATATCAAGTAAAGCTAACATTAAATGTTATTTAATACATGACCAGTGCTTAAGCATCACATGGGGTCTGTTAGTATTCGTGACTGCCCTTTTTCAGAGGTGGAAGTCTACAAGCTTTGATGGAGTTGGCCACCTTGTAATTGTCTATGTAGGCAAACCCATGTCTATTGAATATGGTTCTGTTGGGGCTTTGTAGCCATAGGCCTATCCCTTAGCTTGGCCAACTCATAATTAAAGGATCTGTTTAGAGTAAATTCAAACCAGTCCTATCAGGATTTGTTGTATGATCACTGATCATTAACCTTCTCAGGCAACTGCTTTGATCCTGAGTTCATGTAGCGCATACATGAATGAAGGTGTGACATTCAAGTGAACAGTCAATCACATTCCTTGAAACATTGTTACTGTGACTGAGTCAGCTTAATTCACTACCAAAGACTGAAAACATAAAGTGAAATGAACATGCTTGAGAACCACTGATGTAGGGTAATGACAATTTTTGAATAATGGCTCTTTTTTTGCACTTTTCTGTCAGAATTGTATGATCACATGCATTATGTGAATATAAGGATACTGAGCACCCAAGATTTTATTTTTATTTTTTAGGCAAATATCTTTTGCCATAGTCGTATACTGCTTCAAGAGTGCCAGTTAAAATTGAATCAAGAATCAAATTATTAATTTAATAATTGAAATGTATACAGGTTATGCAAAGGGACTTACAAAATAACACACACACACACACACACACACACACACACACACACACACACACACACACACACACACATACATACATACATAGAGAGAGACTACCTGAGAAAAGTCATGTTGCCTATCCAAGCTTTAAGAACAAAAATTAATAAGTTGACATCTAGTTGATCATTTGTTATCAGAACTGGCTTATATGAAAGGCAAAGGCCTCTTACCAAAATAAAATGTTCATGCCTTGATTTTTAATTATTTAATTAGGAAAGTAAGGTCTGACTTTGCTTAGACTTAGATAAAAGTATTGTCACTAAATGGAAATAATGTACAGTATAGAATATAAAGTCATGGTGCAGTGGAAACAGAATTAAGACTTACATGAGCTTGTCTGCTATGGCAAAGAAGGCATTCTTGCAGGACTCCCAGAATTCATCAAGATTATTTGGATTTATCTTCAATGCCTCTTCTTTGATCTTTCCCCAGACATGCGCAATAATGTTCATGTCTGGTGACTGGGCTAGTCGATCTTGGAGCACCTTGACCTGCTTTGCTTTAAGGAACTTTGATATGGAGGCTGAAGTATGAGAAAGAGCACTCTCCTGCTGAAGAATTTGCCCTCTCCTGTGGTTCTTGATACCTCAGGCTGTTGATGTTGCCATCCACTCTGCAGGTCTCTCGCATGCCCCTATGCTGAATGTAAACCTAAACCATGATTTTTTCCTTGACCAAACTTGAATGAATTCTGTGAGAATCGTGGGTCCATGTGGGTTCCAATAGGTCTTCAGCTGTATTTTTAATGGTTGTGATGCAGTTCAACAGATGATACATCGGAAAAATCTGCCTACTTGCATTTTTCCAAATGATCAACTAGACGTCAAGTTAATATTTGCTGCTCTTAAAACAGTGATCGATGACAGATAAAGTTCCATCTGTGTTCTGAATGATTTTGAGATATTGAGCTTCAAAGTTTTTGCATTCCATAGCAAACAATATGTATGTAACATTTGTTTTTTAAATAAAAGTGTATATATATATATATATATATATATATAGCCTAATGTTTGTATTTTCAAAAAGATAAGTACATACATTGTGGTTATATTATTCACTTATTTTAGTCTTTCTTTTCTTTTCTTTTCTTCTTCATTAAGTTATCAATATACATGATTATTTACAAGATCATCTTAGCTGTTATCACCTTTTCTGCACTGACTTCTTTCAATAAATATGTCTATGGATCACGCAGTGTATTCCAAACAGGATACATCACCCTATTCAGATTGAAAAAAATCATTGTCGCTAAGTTGAAGTGTTGTTCCAAACTGAAGTGCTCAAAACTGACCACTTACTGGCCCTTTGGAATGAAGGCATGAAAAATCTACTTATGGACACTTGGAGACTTCAACCTTAATTTATAGTTCTTTTAAGAAATACTGCAATTATGGTTCTGAATCCCAACAGTACCATACAGACAGGCTCTAAATCCAGAAACCTTTCATTTTCTGTTTCTTGCTGGTCAAACAATTTTCCCAATCCTGCATGAATCAATAGCAGCTTAAAACTCATCTTTTCTGCGAAGCTGTGAGCACAAGACTATATACATTCCTCAGGAGATATTGCTTCTTCCTCTTCACAACTCCTTTCCAAACCTAGCTTTAGTCTCAACTGTTATATTTGACTATTGATATGGCATTAAGTGCCTTTCTCATTTGAAAGTTACTTTTGACAAAATCATTTGCAAAAGGACTCAACGTAAATGTAAAACGTAATGTTTTAATGGTATTTGAAAATGGAAAACATTGCAAATAAAATTTTTCTATTTTTTTGTTTGTTTTTAATATTATACAGCAGAATTGTTTGACTGCTGCTTTTCGTTTACTGTGGAACTAGCTATAGACAGCCAACTGTGTTGTTTATGAATGAACATGTCAAGTGAAATTATTCTACAGCTTAGCAAGTGTATGACTTAACAGGAACATTAGGTGGCGCAAACGCGTCTTCAGTTCCACAAAAGAAGAAGTTGTTGTGTGTTTGCTTTCGGTTTTCCGTCTACCAAGATGCACACATATCGTTTGTGGGTCATTTTACCAATTTGTATTGCGTTGTTGGCCGTGACAGCAGCATGTGGTGAGTTTATGTAACCATTTCCTTGATTACAAAGTACGCAGATATTTATTTTTTTATTGTTATTATTGGGAGATTGGCTTTAACAACTGTACCAAGAGGTTAGATATCATATCAATTCCCATTTCACACTGGTGTCATTTGACGAATTAACAACAATAAACTCTGTTTATACTACAACTTTTCTTGTCAATGCAAGTTAAAGATAAGACTATAGACATAGATAAGACTCACAAGGTCTAGTATATTTTGGGAAGCACCTAAATTATGTAATTATATTTGCATATTGTTATATTATAATTAAAACATTCATTTCACATAAGCGGTTAAAGATGAATGTATTTAAAAAAGGATTAAATGTTGGCATCACATGTTTTAGCGCCCTCTTCTGTTCAGCCTCTGTCAATACTGTTATGATTTTGTGTAACAGCTCCTGTGGGCTTACTTCCTCTATGTCTCTGTACTATGGCTCTTCTGTGGAAGATAAAGATCGAGAATCGCTCCCTATTGAGTCTTTTGACTCAGTATGTGGCTATGAAATCAGTGGGCTGGCTGGGGAATCGCCAAAGAAACAGAATGGAGAAGGACACCCAGGAAATTCGTCGCGTTCAGGAGGAAACGCTGCTCAGGCGCCTGCGCAAACACTCAGACACAGTCTACGGCAAACTATACGACTTCAGCTCGATTAAAGGTGGTTTTCACTTAACTCCCTGTGTATAGGAAGTGATACAACAACCAAAAATAATTACAACTCACAATTCTTTATCTAAATAAATAATGCTGTTAGTGATTAATCGTGACTGATCTTATTACATGTGTTTATTTGAGAATGTTTTTATATTTGTATGTAAAATGTTAAATGTAATATAAATTATATTTAAATATAGATGTAGACTATATCACACACAGGACACACAATTACGATGTGATTAATCATGGTTAATTGACACTGCTAACAATTTAATTTAATGGTCATATCTGGTCACAAGCAGAGCGATATGGTTGTATATCAGCACTGCTGTGATTTAGCCACAGCCATTTTATCAAATCAGTCAAAAGATAGCAACAATGGCAGAGTTTTCATATAGCATTTAATTTAGAGTTATAAAACATCGCCCTCAGTCAAATTGGTCTGGAACAAATAACATGATTGTAACCAAAAATATTGTCATTATAATCATTAAAAATCATAGAGAAACAGGTGCTGTTATAAAAAAAAAAAAAATCACATTTGAAGTTTGAACAACTACATTCGTTAGCTATACATACTCAAAAATGCATTATGTGGCAAAATAAAAAGCAGTACACTCGCATGAGAATCTCAGTAAAGAATGCAGGAGCTAAAGTGATATACATGTGAAGAGGGAAGAACAGTGCTATAATCGGTAGAATATTGCATGAATCAGCACACGTTTATGTTTGACTGAATTTTGTATAATGTATAATGGCGGGCTGCAATGTTAAGCAATGATAGGTGGTTTTGTGTGCCCTAAGCTCCGATGCAATCACAGATTTTGCCATTATAATGCTTAAATTCTCCAGTAAATAACCCATGTGGGTTATTTTGGTTTTTAATCATATAAGTACTTCATCTTTAAAAACAAACTATCACATTTAAACAGAGAGTTTCACTGCCAGAGCAGTGAGCTTGTTTTTCATATTCCCCAATATGGCACACCATAAACTATGCATTATGAAAAAAGAGATAGTTTCAGTCATATATATATATATATATATATATATATATATATATATATATATATATATATATATGTATATATGTATATATATATATATATATGTGTGTGTGTGTGTGTATATAGATCAGCTTTTAAAAATTGAAAAAGCTGCAGCATCATATGTTTTCTGCTGAAAATTGGCTATGGTTGAATCTACACTCAAATAATGGCCTTTGTCCATGAAATAAAGTCATCTGATGCAAAAGAAAGGACAGATGTTCATATTCAAATATGATTTTAATTCAAGTCATGGCATTCTTCAAAAGTAGAAGGGTCTGATGGCAGACTACTGTGGGTGTGCAGTTAAGATTTTAGGTTATTTACAGTGCATTTAAATCAATCATGGTTTTTGATAATCAGTATTTTACATTTGAAAGTATTATTTTGAAAATTTACATTTTTTACATTATGAAAGTAGTATTGTTTTTTAGCAATTAAAATTAAAATGTGCCATTGCAAAATGTACTACCATCTTGTCTTTAAATGAAATATTTTTTTTACTGTATCATTTCAGACACTGAAACATTTAAACAGCGTCATCCGGTCACAAATTATGATCATTATGAAAAGTTTGTGGATCGTGTGGCTAAAGGAGAGCAGAAGGTTTTAATATCGGAGAGTCCTCTAATTTTGGCTATGACATCAGGAACGTCTGGATCCAGCCGTATGCTTCTGAGCACCAAAGACACTAACACAGACTTCTTCCTACAGGTCACAACACTTACACTTTCATATATATCTAAGGTGATTAGCCACTAGTGGCAAAAATAATGACAAAACTTAAGCAGATTTCCTGGAAAACTTTCCTATATCTTTCAATTGCTCAGACAACCTGGCAAGAATCTGGTTAAGCCAACTATTTGCTCTGTTGAGAAAGCTCAATAAGGTCTTGTATTCTATCTCACAAAAAGTGGATTGATTATGAACCCGATAATTATGTGTATTAATATGTAATTAATACAATTTTTAAGCTTCTCATCTGGCAGGCAGAATTGAGTGTGTACTATAACAGCCTGTCATGTCTTTATTTGTTTCTGAAAGGATTCAGCAAGAAGCGCTGAGGAAGTAATCTATTGTTTCTACCCATTTTTCCCTAGGGGGTTACTGTTTGTCTAGATGTCATGAGACGAGCCTTTCCAGCCACCGAATGTCTTCAGAAAACCCTGAAACTCTTTTACTCTCCTCTCATTCGTCAAAGTGAGGCAGGTATTCCCATCGGCCCCAACTCCTCGACCCCTGCATCCTCTAGACACATGCTCCATCTGTACACCACACCAGCGCTTGTCTATCAGGTAGGTGGAATGTATGAATATGCATTTAAATTATGAATTTAACATAAGATTTAGTAATGTGCAAATGTTGGGGTGAATAGGGAGACAAACCGTGTGAGGAAATTTGAAAAAATTGTGCTGAGCAAAGATTAATCGTGATTAATCGCATCCAAAATATCTTTGTATTTTCATAATATTTGTGTGAATTATACACTACTGTTAAAAAGTTTAGGGCGGTTTTTATGCTTTTTTTAAAGAAAATTATCATCAAGGCAGCATTTATTAACTGTAAAAAACTGATTAAATTGTTAAATACTTACTTATGAAATATTTATTTATTATTTATCGTTTGTATTTTCAAATGAAGTTATTAGTCCAGTCAATACTGATTTTATTGCTATTAATAATAATAATAATAAATATTAGAGTTATTGATTAGATGTGACTGAAGACTGGAGCAATGAAGATAAAATTTCATCATTAAAATCTCTGGATTAAATTATTAATTTAAATTATAAACTACTTTTGAACAGTGATTTTAAAGTGCAATAACATTTCACAATTTAAAAATTTTTACTGTATTTTTGATGAAATAAATGCAGCTTTAGTGAGCAGGATCAGCTTTTTTTTAAAAAACATTTAAAAATCACACTGACCCCAAGCTTATGACCAGTAGTGTATATAATTTTGATTTATATATAATAAACAAAAATACATAAAAATATACAAAACAAAGATATCTACATATTTGTATTTATATATAGATGATATCATATACACTACCTGACAAAAGTCTAGTCGTCGATCCCAGTTGTAAGAGCAACAATAATAACTTGACTTCTCGTTGATCATTTGGAAAAGTGGCAGAAGGTGGATTTTTCCGATGAATCATCTCTTGAACTGCCATCCAATCATCACAAATATTGCAGAAGACCTATTAGAACCTGCATTGACCCAAGATTTTCACAGAAATCAGTCTGAAATTAGTTTAGTGATGGAAAATCATGGTTTGGGGTTACATTCAGTATGGGGGTGTGGGAAAGATCTGCAGAGTGGATGACAACACCAATAGCCTGAGGTATCTCATGACATTTGTGTTGCCCGTTGGTTTACAAACCACAGAAGAGGGCAAATTCTTCAGCAGGATAGCACTCCTTCTCACATGTCTGCCTTCACATCGAAGTTCCTGAAAGCAAAGAAGGTCAAGGTGCTCCTAGATTGGTCAGCTCAGTCACCAAACATGAACATTATTGAGCATGTCTGGGTAAGATAAAGAAGGAGGCATTGAAGATGAATCCAAAGGATCTTGATGTACTCTAGGATTCCTGCAAGAACGCTTTCTTTGCCATTCCAGATGACTTTATTAGTAAGTTATTTGAGTCATTGCTGAGATGTATGGATGCAGTCATCCAAGCTCATGGCAGTCATACACAATATTAATTATTTTCTATTGCACCATGACTTTGTATTCTATACTGTAAATTGTTTCTGTTAAGTGACGAGACTTTTGTCTAAGCAAGTCAGACCTTACTGTCCTAATTATATAATTATAATATTTTATTTTGGTAAAATAAGCGAAATCTAGAGGCCTTTGCCTTTCTTATAAGCCACTTCTGGTACCAAATGATCAACTTGAAGTCACATCATTATTTGTTGCTCCTAAAACTTGGATAGGCGACAAGACTTTTGTCAGGTAGTGTAGTCTTTTAAGTGTAGGTATTTTAGTGTAGTGTCTCTAAAATACCATGTTGACTTTGTCTGTACTGTAGGTGCCTTATGAGAGGGATGCTTTGTATCTCCATCTGTTGTTTGGGTTGAAGGATCGCAATCTTGGCATGCTGGAATCAAACTTCTGCTCAACCATCTTTTATGCCTTCAGAGCTCTTGAGGTACATCAGTGTTATAGTATCACATTACTCATTGACAATGATTAGCATTATAATCTAAGTGATCATCTAGCAGTAGTCTCATATGTAATTTTAAATGAGTTTTGCAATTGTTTGTAAATCCTAGAACAGTTAAAGGCTTATAATTGGTTTCAAATCATACGGAAACCTACTTTAAAAAGTAACAGATGAATATAAATGTGAAGCTCAGGAAGGAAAAAAAAAAAATTTTGAATAAAAAAAAAATTGCCATTTAAAAAAATTATATCCTGGTTGGGAAAAAGTAGGAATAGTTGCAAAGTTTGTCATTATTTGCACACTCAAATGATTCCAAACATTTGAGAGTTTCTTTATTCTGCTAAAGGCTAAAAAAGATATTTTTAGAATGCTGGGAAACAACCTGTAAACCTTGACTTCCATTGCAGGAAAAACAAATATTATTGGAGTCAAAGTTTTCCAGCTTTTTTCAAAATAACTTTCTTTGTGTCCAACAGAATAAAGAAACCCTAACAGGTTTCTTTTCAGAATTATCTTTTATGGGTGAACTGGCCCTTTAAACTGAGAGTGTGGGGCTGACTTCATTGCTATTAATGACTGTACGCACACATTGATGTCTAATTGAGATCAGTGCACTGATCAGGTCTACAGGTCTGATCAGTGCACAATCATGTTACTCATAGAAACTCTGTAGGGCACAATATTATGTTGCCATATTCAAGAAAACATTCAAGATTTCAAAATACTAAGAGAACAATTTTATACTAAAAGGTATAGTCCTTAAAAAGGGGGCGGCGTGGTGGCGCAGTGGGTAGTCTCACAGCAAGAAGGTCGCTGGATCGAGCATCGGCTGGGTCAGTTGGCATATCTGTGTGGAGTTTGCATGTTCTCCCCATGTTTGCGCGTGGGTTTCTTCCGGGTGCTCTGATTTCACCCACAAGTCCAAAGACATGCGCTGTTGTTGAATTGGGTAAGCTAAATTGTCCATAGTGTTTGAGTGTGTATGGTTTCCCAGTGATGGGTTGCAGCTGGAAGAGCATCCACTGCATAAAACATATACTGGATGTTTCACTATGTGAAAGTGTATGTGACAAATAAAGACCTGATTTGATTTAATTTTCGGGATAAATTGGCAGTTCATTCCGCTGTGGCATCCCCAGATTAATTAAGGGACTAAGCCGAAAAGAAAATGAATGAACGAAAAGTTATTTATTTATTTAATTGTTTTTACCAGGAATGAACATAGCTTGATAGGTTAGGAAAAATCTAGCAAACATTTAAATTTATAGTCACACTTTACAATAAGGTTTGTTAGTTAATGTTAAGTAGTGCATTTACTAACATAAACAAACAATGAACAATACATTTACAACAGTATTTATTAATGTAAATAAACGTTAGTTAATGAAAATACAGTTGTTCATTGTTAGTTCATGTTAACTCATGGTGCATTAACTAATGTTAATAAGCATGGACTTGAATTTTAATATTGCTTTAGTAAATTTTCAATTATGATTAATAAATGCTGTACATGTGCTGTTCATGATTTGTTTATGTTAGTAAATGCATAAACTAATGAACCTTATTGTATTACCATAATTATTTAATGGTTGAAATGTTGCTCGTAGTGTGTCGTGAACCAAGCCCATCACTGTCCCTTCCAGTGCTCGAATTTGAGTACACAACCTACTGATGAACAACCTCGGGAGCTAAGAAGCTGACTGAGATGCACCCTCTGTTAGAGATTTATTCATAGAGACTTTGTAGAGCACAATAATGTGTTGCCATATTCAAGTAAAGATTGAAAGATTTTAAAATTCTAAGAGAGGAATTGCGTACTATAAAATTTGAAACATTTAGAAATATTTTTCAAAAAGATGTTTTTTACCATTTCATGGTTACGTTTGTTTCATGGTTAAATTGTTAAAAGCTCATTGTCAAATGTTATTTTTAAATATTTTCTTTCCATAACAAAGTGCTGGCAGCAGCCATTTTAGTACAGTTTGTGGTTTCCTTTTAGGGCTTTTTCTACTTGTTTTTCACTGGTCTAGGAGCTAGTTTAAGCAATAAAATGTTTTTTAAAAAGTAGAAATCATAGATTTAGGACTGACACGTTAATATTTTTAAGACTTTCAAATAAAAGAAGCTATTTTTAGCTTTGTAGTAGGCCCCAGATGTTAAGTGAAGTCCGAAGTTGTTTGAATCACTCTTCAGTGGTACCAAAAATAGCGGTATGAGGCTTCCGGTTCTGGCGTGCAGCTAAAATGTTGCATGAACGGAGCTCGCTGCTAAATATCAACAATAAATCCCTGAAAAAGATCCTGAGCGTATTTAAACATTTGATATTCACTTAAACTTAGAACTTAAGAGACAAAACTATGGTTCCAGAACTATTTTTAACACAGTTAGATGCAATGCAAGAAATTGGACGGATACAGTACTACTCATATGTTTATATGCCAAATATGCTCTCTACACACTTAAATACCATTTCCATTTTCAGTCAATTGTTTTGTAACCTATAGCAATAAGAACATTTTGCCATTAAAAATGTGACCTGAATCCATCTTTATTCAGGAACATTGGAGAGATCTTGTTATGGATGTGGAAGTGGGCATGATCAGCTCTGCTCTAAACCTAGAGGCTGATGTGCGCTGTGCTTTAGAAAAGCTGATGAAGCCGGATCCAGAGAGAGCTGCTGAACTCACAGCTCAGTTTGAGGAAGGATTTGAGGGAATTGCTCTCAGATTATGGCCTCAGTTACACCTGGTCCTGGCAGTAGACTCGGGTTCCAATCAGATTTATGGGGAGATGTTACGGCAACACTACTGTAAAGATGTGCCATTCTACTCCCCTTTCTATGCTGCAACTGAAGGTAAGTTTAAATTTCTTTGTATTGTTGTAAACTTGATCATAATCTCACAGCTATACTAGGTTATAATGAGTTACAGTGGGCAAGGTTACTTCTTACTACGGACTACAGAGTGTTTAAAGATAATGTCTGGACTCAGACTGCAGAGTATATATATCCAAATCAGAATGAGATTGCACTTCCATAAAATCATAGTAGATGATTCCGCAGATGTTTCTACTAATAGTATGCTTACTAAACAAACTGTCATCATTTCCATAATGACAAGTACAATCAGGGAGCAGCCCAAATTAAAAATAAAATGCATTGATAATCAGTAAGTTCAGATAATGGATCACTCTGTCCACATGCTGGCAAATTGTGAAAAATTTGGTTAAAGGGCTGGTCTTCTACGATATCATATTTTAAACATTATTTGATATGTAATAAAGCTGTGTGAACATAAACAACATCTCTGAATGTAAGATGCTCAAAGTTCAATGCAAAGGGATATATTGGCTTTTACAGAGATAGCTTAGCAAAGTCTACAGCAAGCAAAGTTTGGAGACTACAAAAAAATACATCAAGAGATCACAAATGCTTCAGGTTACGAGTATTTACCACACGCATACACCCCACACAGCAAAGGGCTGTGGCTGGAGGCCCTGTAATGTTATAGCAGAGAATGCTAAAATGCTGTTCAAAGCTACTATTTTCACAGAGCTTCTTCTGTTTCTGTATTTTGGCTTTCAAAGAACATGACACAAAGAGAGAAGTGCTTACAATTTAATTTTAGTTCCCTAGTTCCTAGTATCAGAGAATTATAAAAAAATATATAGCTAGCATTTGAGAAAGGACAGCTTCTAGAATCTCTCCAAGTTCAGTGTTGGATTCGGCTAAAAACTCCTCCAACCAAATTAGACGAAGCTGTGAATTGTGAGCCACAACCTGTAAGTATTTTTATTTGTTAAAACTGATGTATTGCATGAACAGTTTTTGGCATTAAAATTAAACAAAGATGTAAACAACGGCAAATGCTGTTTGCTGAATTTATTAAATACACTTGTTAGATTTTACACAGCGCAAAAGCACGTGCTTGTAGGGGTGTGACTCCTTTCCTGGTGACATGAATCCGATCCATAAATCACAGCACATTATGTTAGCTGACCAATCAGAGCCTTTTGACAGCAGGCCTTTCAGAGCAACTACAAAATATGAGTCATTTTTATGTAAGCTGAGTAGCATATATAGTATAGCAGTATATAATCAAATGAAGATAAATGAAAAAATAACATAATTCTTTACAAATGAAGCATAAGCACACATTGCTTTGCATCTTATAAACTCAACCAAGCCTTAAAAATACACTCTGGACCACCCCTTTAAAAAACATATAGTTCCGGTTATTGATTTAAAATAAATGATCACATTTAAGTTGTTGCAAGTTACTCTACAAATGCTGCATTTACACCATGTCAGAAATGCATAAACACCGAGATGACTAAATGGTGACATTCAACTCAGTGATGTTCACATTCTTGGACTGGATATTGTCTGTTTTAATAGTTGGCAAAATAAACTTGCTACTTGCATGTTTTTGGCAAAATATATTACAGGAATAAAAAAACAAATACCATGAAATAACTATAACTAACTATAAAATAACATTTTACTACTTGTAGCAACACCATTTTTAACTGGTCCTTTGGTGGTCATGAATAATGTGGTACAAGTTGTAGCTCTCAGAAAACTCCCAGTTCATAAATTAAAATTCTGATGTGACTGTTGCTTAGCAACCATTCCTCTATCAGCAAAGAGCCAATAAAAATAAGTTGCACTTAATTATGTGTAACCTTGCTAGGCACATGAAATAACCCTTGTATAAAAGCAATAAACTCAATCAAGCTGGGATTTAGGGGTAGTGTGGTGACAGTGGGTAGTGCTGTTACCTCACAGCAAGAAGGTCTCTGGTTCGAGCCTCGGCTGGGCATTTCTGTGTGAAGTTTGTATGTTCTCCCTGTGTTTCTGTGGGTTGCCTACGGGTACTGCAGTTTCCCAGACAAGTTCAAAGACCAAATTGTCAGTAGTGTATGTGTGTGAATGATAATGTATGGGTGTTTCCCAGTGATGGGTTGCAGCTAGAAAGGCATCTACTGCAAAACATATGCAGGATAAATTGGCAGTTCATTCCGCTGTGGCGACCCCTGGTTAATAAAGAGACTAAGCCAAAAAGAAAATGAATGAATGAGTGATGAATGAAGCTGTAATTTACAGTAAATTTATAACAGCTCTGCAATGTACAGCACTCATTAGCTGTTATAAATTCACTGTAAACTATTGCTTCTTATGGCTTGTTGCTTTATTTGAAAATTAGCATTGCTAGTACAGTGCAACTGGCAACATTTAACAGCAAATGTGTCAATAGATCATATAGCTGCAATGAGCAGATTTCACAGATTTTAATTGTAATTGTCTGTAATTGATGTTTCAGGATTGATAGGTGTGAACCTGTGGCCTCTGCAGGAGAGAAGACAGTATCTGTTGTGTCCTCGCTCCATGTTCTGTGAGTTCATACCAGAGGAGGATCTGGAGTCAGATCAGCCCAAAACTCTCCTGATGGAGCAACTTAAGGAAGGACACAGCTATGAGCTGCTAGTCACCAATGCATCTGGATTATTTAGGTCAGGTATATAAACAAAACATCAAATAAGAAATGTTTACAGTTAGTTTTAAGATTACATAAATTATCTCAGGTTCACATTGATTTTCTATTTTTCTGTTCAGATTTGTCTCAAAAAATAGTTTTAATTTTAATAATCATTTAAAAAAATAATCATAAGATATCGTTATTTTCTACAGATTTTACATGCGTAACAATTAATGTCAAAAACACTAGGATCTATATGGAACAAAATCAATGCCTAAAGTCTTGAATTAAAAAGCTTGTTGAATATCACAAACTGAAAAAAATAATACAGCGTATTAACAAGTTATTGCATTTTAATGACTTGAATTCCAGGGTTTGTATTTTTAGGTCCTGAAATTTAACATATCTGTTTATTTAGGCTGTGAATATTTCAACGAAAAATATTTCAAACACGTTTTCATACTTAAAAATTCAATAATTCATATTCAATTTTCAGATTTCACTTACAAAATATTCAATACACTTTAAAAATACGATGTATAATATTCAAAAGGTCATTTTCAGTTCATTTTATTTCAGTTCAAATATTCGCTTCCATAAATTCAGTGGATCAAATTCGACTGATAAAATTCAACATTACATCCGGGAACTGCAGGAGAAGCAATAGATTGCCGATTGAAGATCGCCAGCTGCTCTAGCTTTCACCAGCAGGTGGAGATGGAATAATGTAAGATTTTTAACCCAGTAAACAGGCGAGAAAAAAGGCTAATAAAGGCACAAAAGTAGCATTCAATTTTAATATCAATGCCTTGGACATTATAAATAATAAAAAGTATGAGTAAAATGAGTAAATGAGGTTTTAGTCGTTTATATTTGCCCTTATGTAACGGAAGCCAGCTGGTGATCGCGTAAAGCTCACCCCTCGGATCCAGGGACAGACGTTGTTCTGCAATCTTATCGGAGCTTGTCTCCCATGCTGGCTCGATACCTGCTCGGACCGGTGCGGTTACTTGCACATAAACCGTCTTTTGATGAATATGATGTTACACATTGTCTATCTTTATTGACTCTTTCTTCCATAGACGCAAAGTATATTGACAGCTAAAGAATATAAACGTAAGAGAAACAGGAGAGGAAATATTATAATAATAATACAAAATAGATAAACATTGACAGGGCTAAGAACAATTACGAACAAAGATTTTCAAAACCAGAGAGATTTTATGAGAATGTCACAAAACAGTTTACTTGGAAATGTTAAACAGAGTTCAGGTATGATTTAAGGTTGGTTATGGATGGGGCGTCTGATTTAAAATAATTTTGCGAATGCATTAAAGGGGCGTCTTCAGTTATTCACACAGAACCGAACTAATATGGCATAACTATAAGGAGTAATGTTTGCGCAGTTTAAACGCAGCTGTGTCAGGATTGGGATAGGTTATACATTTTCATCATTTAAATTATTATTATGATTGTTAATATTATTATTGTATGACATTTTTTCTAATTTTTGGGGTTCTGCCATGGTTAAACGTTTGCCAAATGTCTTAGTTTGTCCAGATTATTGTTTTATTGTTATGTAGCCTATAGGCGAGAAAAAAGGTAATAACGCAAAAGTGGCAATGTCGCAGCCAATGATAACTAATAAAACGAGTCGCCTGTGGTTTGATAATAGGCAGTTATAACTGACTTTGTTTTTATTAAACGAGAAAACCGTTATTTATAACTTTTCAGCGACCGTTTGTATTTTATGATTAGCAATGTTGATCTTTTTTGCAGTTATTAAACATATAAACTTATTTAAACTGGTTTAAACTTAATATAGTTGTCACTTGAGCTAGTTTCATAAGATTAATGTTTATAATGCGTGGTTTGACATGCGTGGCTGAGCTTTAATCGCCATCTACTGGAGAGAATGTTTTGCTCATTTATAACTCTTTTCTGCAAGTGTGTTTTATGATTTCACAAAGTCAAACCATTATGTTTTTATTTTATATTTTGAGATGATCATATTTAAATAAACAATTGCTAGGGTAGCTAATAGTTTCTTTTTTCTTGTTTTTAAAAAAAAATCAGTAGCTTATAAAATCCAAATTTTTGCTTGACAAAGTTATTAGTTTAGGATACTGGATGCATTTTTGCTGTGTTGGAAACTCATAAGCTCACACTAAATCAATTATATCATCAGAAATGACAGATATAAGAAATCCATTAATATTCATCACTCTTTTTACACTTATACAAGCAATTTCGCGCCAACGTCAGCTCCACTTTCGGAAATGGTAAACAGCGAGGTGTTATTCATATAAGCCCAAGCATGACATATGTCATGATTAATATAATAATCGAAACACTCTTGTAGGCTATTCTTATGCTTGGCCAAATGTCATGACTTTCACTTTCATTTTACATTATTATGCACACGCCCAGATGTCATCTGAAACTTTGGAAGAATTCCTATCATATATTGACAGCCATCCAGCATCTCTTAATCAGTTTGCTGTGGCGGGGCGCTGGCTCTGACTGGCCACCGGAGCTCGCTGCCACTCGTTCGACTTTGCATTCTGCATTCGCAAAATTATTTTAAATCAGACGCCCCATCCATAACCAACCTTAAATCATACCTGAACTCTGTTTAACATTTCCAAGTAAACTGTTTTGTGACATTCTCATAAAATCTCTCTGGTTTTGAAAATCTTTGTTCGTAATTGTTCTTAGCCCTGTCAATGTTTATCTATTTTGTATTATTATTATAATATTTCCTCTCCTGTTTCTCTTACGTTTATATTCTTTAGCTGTCAATATACTTTGCGTCTATGGAAGAAAGAGTCAATAAAGATAGACAATGTGTAACATCATATTCATCAAAAGACGGTTTATGTGCAAGTAACCGCACCGGTCCGAGCAGGTATCGAGCCAGCATGGGAGACAAGCTCCGATAAGATTGCAGAACAACGTCTGTCCCTGGATCCGAGGGGTGAGCTTTACGCGATCACCAGCTGGCTTCCGTTACATAAGGGCAAATATAAACGACTAAACCCTCATTTACTCATTTTACTCATACTTTTTATTATTTATAATGTCCAAGGCATTGATATTAAAATTGAATGCTACTTTTGTGCCTTTATTAGCCTTTTTTCTCGCCTGTTTACTGGGTTAAAAATCTTACATTATTCCATCTCCACCTGCTGGTGAAAGCTAGAGCAGCTGGCGATCTTCAATCGGCAATCTATTGCTTCTCCTGCAGTTCCCGGATGTAATGTTGAATTTTAACAGTCGAATTTGATCCACTGAATTTATGGAAGCGAATATTTGAACTGAAATAAAATGAACTGAAAATGACCTTTTGAATATTATACATCGTATTTTTAAAGGGTATTGAATATTTTGTAAGTGAAATCTGAAAATTGAATATGAATTATTGAATTTTTAAGTATGAAAACGTGTTTGAAATATTTTTCGTTGAAATATTCACAGCTTAAATAAACAGATATGTTAAATTTCAGGACCTAAAAATACAAACCCTGGAATTCAAGTCATTAAAACGCAAGAACTTGTTAATACGGTGTATAATTTTTTTCAGTTTGTGATATTCAACAAGCTTTTTAATTCAAGACTTTAGGCATTGATTTTGTTCCATAGATCTATTTTGACAGTCCATGCGCAAAGCGCAAAACGCAGGGTGCAAACGCTTTCCGGCCGTGTCAGAATGCATTTTTGTTATTTAAGGACGGGAAAATCTGCTTTGCGCCGAGGCACATGGTCTAAAAGGGTTGAGTTTATTTTCTTAATGAGTTATAGGTGTGTTTTAAGAATAAACCAATCATAGTCTCCTCTCCCATTACCTTTAAGAGCCTTGCGTCACACCATAAGCGCATTTGCTATTTACATGACGTAAAGTAAGTAGAAGTGGAAAAAATGAGCATTTCCCAAGCAAACAGTTAACAGTTTTTTTTTCTTTTTTCTTTTTTTTTTACAAAAAAACAGTTGAACAGAACATCTACCGAGAATGAGAGATAAATGATCTACTTTCACTTTTTTAGGGAAACCTTTACGCACAGACATCAGTTAGCCTATAAATAATTAATTCCATTTATTAAGCGCAAATATTTGTTTCAAAACTATTTCTAAATTCAGTTCTAATTTCCAGCAAAGGAATAAATGAACAATATTATCGAAGTGTGTTCAAAAACCTGAGTTATATCCTAAAACACATGCTGTGCCCCATATGGTCTAAAACCTGCAGGTGGGCAAATCTAAGCTTGTTTTTAATAAAACAAATATAAATATGCGTATAATAAATTATACGGCTAATCATAATAACATTATACAAAAGCAAATTGTTATGAATGAACTGAAAAAGCCTCCCGAGATGAAGGCATAAAAAGCTGTGGTTTTTCATATTTATGTAGGCTAGAAAATAATAAGTTTTGTAATATTTTAATGCTTTATATTTATATCCTATATACATTCTTATTATATCCTATATATATCCTGAATATTGTATTTTTTTTATTTGTAAAGATATTTGCATATTGCTCGACATCTTTCTGTGTGTATTAAGCAGTGTGTAAGCGAGGCGCAACTCTGCGCTGGACTTTAGACAGGGTTGGTTTTGGTCTATTGAAAAATCTTTTATAGTTTCTCAAAATAGCAACGCGCCAGCAATGCACTGCAGAACGCCTTCCTTTTTAGACCAGAACACCTATGGGTGCACATATGAGCGCAAATGCATTTGCTATTTAAACAGCATAGCGCAACACCTCAAAACGAATCTTGCGCCAAGCTGAAACTAGCAAAAGACTTTCCGCGTCTCACGCCACATTGCGCCAGGTGTATGATAGGGCCCTAGATGTTTATTTGATGTTAAGATTTTTTCAGAAATGGTTGTTGTTATAATATCTAAATTGAAATTCATAGGAATAAACCAGCGCTTAATTGAAGTCTGAGTATTAAATAAACATTTTAAGGGCATCATGCACTAGTGCAGTACTTATTTCTTAAATAGTGTAAACATTTTCAGTTTTTATAGTCTTTAGAAAATTGTTTAATAGTCTTGCAGATTAATTTAGAATCTGTCTTACACCACATAATTAACAATATCATTGATTTTACTAAATCAATTTATTATTCGTCTCTTTAAGAAGTCTTCTTAACCTGTTGATGGCACAATTTTTTTTAGACCCCAACTACAGCTACGCTGTTTGAGGGTGGGCATAAGTAGAACATAGACCTTTCCGACATTGTGCAAATTTGTTTCAAATCTACATAGGTTTGACCAGGTAGTACATGTAAGATTGGAATTTCTGGTGATGGCTTATTATTGATGATTACACTTACATTACTTTTGTGAACACTGCTATTTGGTATCAAATCAGGTGGTGTTATAATGCTTTTTTTGAGGGCAATTTTATAAACATGCATTAGTTGATGTCAAGTATTTGTGTACTGATTCTTATAAATAATGAAAAAGTAATCAGATATTACATTATTAGAAAGGTAAAATATGCTGGATATAAGGGATGTTGTTTTTACTGTACATTTATGTTTTTTCAGGTATCGCATTGGAGATATTGTTAAAGTAGTTGGGTTTCATAACCAGTGTCCAAAAGTGGAGTTTCAGTACAGGTAATTGTTTGTTTATATACTTAATCTAATGAAGGGTTTTTAAATCATAAGATTTGTGTTTACATTTTTTAATTTATATAATTTTATTTTATTATTTTTACATTTTTAAATGTATATTATTTAGTATTACCTGTCCTTTCTGTTTATTATATCTTAACAGGAAAAAAGGATTAAAACATTGATGGTTATTTAAAACTTTTGCACAATACTTTGCCTCATTATTAGGGCCAGAACGAATCTGCAGACATTTTTAGGTTTTTCTGTGCAGAATTTTGTGAAAATCTGCAGATTTATGAGGAATAATTTTGGAAGTATCTCTCCTAAAAACTTAATATATTAAATAAAAATAATATTTTTAAAAACTATTATTTAATGTTTACAATTCAAATCCAATTAGATCCACTTATTTGTTAAACAAAGCAAGTCTCTCACATAATATATTTACCAAAAGAAAGAAAAATATTACTTTACAAACTGTATTGTAAATAAATTATATAAACATTTTATATTTGTATATAATATAACTGAAATTAATCTAAAAACTGAATAAATATAAGTTTACACACATTTACACAAGTCAATAAATAGACTGATTAGCTAAAAATCTGTGCATTTCCTTGTGGGCCTACTTGTATATGCCCAATGTTGGGAAGGTTCAAGTTGGTACCACAGTCAATCAAAACATTTTTCTGTGTTAACATTTGTTCAATGTCTCTGTTCAGGCGTGGTCAGATGTTGAACGTTCGTGGTGAAAAAGTGTCTGAATCACTGTTTTTGGGAGCTCTTAAGCGGGCTGTGATGCAGTGGCCAGGAGCCAGACTCATAGACTACAGCTGTGTCGAGAGTGGCATTCTAGGTTTGTAATACACAGTCTTTTTGCAGCAGATAAAATCGTTTACAGCAGTGAATAAAGCTAAACAGTATGGTTGTAAATTTCAACCAGCCTGCTAATTATTTTTAATAGAGGAAATTATTGAACCAGCAATGCCAGTAATTCACAAATTTTAGAATTAGTTATTAATTTTTCAGTGAAATAGATAAATAGAATTTCAGGGCTGGCTCAGTGTATTCAAACAATGCTGTGCTGGATGGAGAGAATATTCACCTACTGTACAAACATTACAAACTTTTTCACAGATAACTTCCATTTTATATCAATTTTAGCTACTGATGCTGTATTCATGTGAATAAATGGCCATTTACACACGTACCATGGTGTAAAAAAGTGTTTGCCCTTACTGATTTTTTAAATGTTTTAGATCATCAAAATAAGTTTAAATATAAGTCAAAAATAACACAAGTAAACACATCAGGCAGTTTTGAAATGTAGGTTTTAAAACTGAATACAAAACTACATAGGCCTGTGTGAAAAAGTGTTTGCCCCCTAAACCTAATAACTGGTTGGGCCACCCTTAGCAGCAACAACTCCAATCAGTGTTTTCAATAACTTGCGATGAGTCTGTTACAACACTGTAAAGAAATTTTGGCCATTCATTTTTTTCCTGAATTGTTGTAATTCAGCCACACTGGAAGGTTTTCAAGCATAAATCACCTTTTGAAGGTCTTGCCACAGCATTTCAATTGGATTCAGATCAGGACTTTAACTAGGCCAATCCAAAGTCTTAATTTTGTTATTCTTGATTTCTTCATATGTGAACTTGCTGTTATCCTACTGCAGAACCCACAAATTTAAGGTCACTAACAGATGGCTGGACATTCTCCTTCTGGGTATTTTAGTACACAGCAGAATTTATGGTTATGCATAAGGCTTGGGGATCATCAAGATTTTTGTTGGGAAAACTGGGATCAGCCTTATTTTTTTTTCCTCAGCCGTGGTTTTAATCTTGGAACTCTGGCATGCAAACCATTATTGCCCAGTCTCTTTTTTATGGTGAAGTCATGAACACTTGACTGAGGCAATTGAGGCCTACAGTTCTTTAAATGTTGTTGTGGGGTCTTTTGTAACCTCTTGAATGAGTTGTTGGTGCAGTCTTGGAGCAATTTTGGTCAGCTGGCCACTACTGGGAGGGTTCTCCACCGTTTGTTCTTGCAAGTTGTAGATAATGGCTCTCACTGTGGTTTGCTGCAGACCCAAGCTGTAGATCTCTATTATTTTCTTTCTAATTTGTTGATGTCTAGATTTTGAGGATCTTTTGGTCTACTTCAAACACTTTTCACACAGCTATGTAGTGTTTAATTCTGTTCTTCAGTTAAAAACACTATGATGTGTTTACTTGTGTTATAGACTAATATTGAAATTAGTTTGATGATCTGAAACTTTCCAGTTTGACAAACTTGTAAAAAATTAGGAAATCATTAGGGGCAAACACTTTTTCACAACACTGTATATGTGTGTATATATATGTAAATGTATGTGTAAAATAAAATTTCATTCTTTCAAAAACACAGTCCAGAAATGTGTCATTATAATTAATAAATAAATTTGGTACAAGACATTGATATATAGTATAAGTGGGCACTGATCTTCTGCAAATCTTTCATCACACTCTAGTGTCAAACTATGAAACTTAAATAAAACAAGCTGTTTTGGCTATGTGATAATTTTCAATTCTGCCATTGAGATTTGTTGATAATCTGCCAGTGGCAAAATTTTCAAATTAATATACATCTACATTTGATATTTAGCCGTTACCTTTATCAAAAAAGACTCACAGTCTTACACACCCCATGAGCACACATCCGGAGAAGTTGGGGGTTAGACATGACATCAGCCGTGGTATTGATTTGAGGAAGAGAATTCTGATTATTCTCTCCATAAACCTACAAATCTAAAAGTAGCTTATTACACCTTAATGACTATTGAGAATTATTGATATTCTGCTAGTGGCAAAAGTTATCAAATGTATTTACATTTAATATTAAGCAGATGCTTTAATCATAAGTGACTCACTCACCCCATGAACAGGGGGTTAGACACGACATCAGCCATGATATTAATTATCGAGGTAGGAAGAAAGTTCTGGTTCTGGTTATTCTCTCCCACCATTAGGCCAGAGCTGCCACAGTAATATGCAGTCCTGCATACTAAAGCAACTATTACAACTATCAAAAAAGGAACCAATAGGGCAACATAACAACAACACTATTATACTGCCAACATCTGTACAGTCTGACAAGTAGCAACTGAATTTTTACAAATCATACAGTGCACACATAGCTTAAGTTGTATTGAATCGGGAACAATTTTATTCCATATTTAATTTGCTGCTTTAACTGAAAAAACTGTCCAAAAGCATTTCTCCTAAGTTTAACTGAACAATCACCTCTAACCCATGACCTAGTCTGTCTTATATTGTCCTTGCCAACAGTCACATTGTTTGAGGGGTGGTGGTGTAAGATCATTAAATATTTTATACATTAAACATACATCAGCTTAAAATAAGAAACTGTCGAATGTCAGTAAATTTTGTTGTGCAATGCAATTACAATGATGATAGCTCCTTGGCTTTTTAGCTAAAATGTTAACTGTTTGTTTATATATAACATTCAATGGTTTTAATCTTGTAATGTTCATGTAGGACCAGCTTGTAGCACAACAAGATAAGTGAGGGAAAATAGTTGTATTCATAAAAAGTTTTGCAGCAGCCTTAGATAACTGATTCCTAATGTTTCTATAAATCCTCAGGCTTGCTCTAGCACTTCTGGAAACCTTCTTAACGTGTTTTTTTTTTTTTTTTTTTCAAATTTAAATTAGAGTCAACTCTATTTGTTAACTCTAAATAATTGACTATATTTATTACTTCTCCATTAACTAAAATATCTGAGCAATGCTCCTCATTTTTGTTAATTGGAAAAAAAAAACATTCCCAGTTTTACTTACATTGAGGGTAAGAAATGAACAATATTACCAGTCTTAAACTTTTTTGAGTGCAGCTTTGTTAGCAGCTTGTTCTTTGGTTTTTGCATGAGTATATACTACTGTGTCGTCTGCATACATTTGAAGTTGAACTTCTGGACACACTGTAGGCAAATCATTAATGTATAAACTAAACAAAATTGGCCCAAAAATTGATCCTTGTGGAACTCCAAAATTACAATTGATGAATGGTGAGCATGCGCCCTTAATTCTTATACATTGCTTTCTCGATTTATTAACATTATCAAATGCCTTTTTTAAATCAAGAAAGACAGCACCAACAACTCCACCCTAATCTTTGTTTAATAAAGTAACAGTTTGCGGTCTCCGTAGAATGACGTGCTTTAAATCCAAACTGCATAGAATGTAATTTATCTAAATTAAAATGCGCTACCAGCTGATTACAAACAACTTTTTCAATTACTTTAGAAGCAATTGGTAAAATACTGACAGGCCTATAATTAACAAGATTAGCAGGATCACCAGTCTTAAATATGGGTGTTATTATTGCAGACTTCTAGGCACTTGGAAAATAAGATTTCTTATTGATTAATTAACAAGGTGAGTTAAAAGTGTATTAAAAACATTTGCATACTTTAAAAAAATGCTGAGTCACATTCAAAGGCATCTTTAGCTCTGGAACTCCTAAGTTGATTAAAAATTTTTAGTACACAAGATTAAGAAATTTCAGAAATATTAAAATCAGTAAAATCATAATTTGGTGATATAATGTCTTTACTTCTCACACTAAATCCTTGTGCTAAATCTTGGACTTAATCTATTAAAAAAATCATTAAATACCCTAGCAATTTGATACTTATTTTGAATTAAACGTCCCTGAGATTGTAACTCAATAGATTTATTATTAATGTTTCTTTTTTTTTTTGCTCTTTATTAATATTCTATTATACTTCCCTACTATTCCCTTTTGCATTATTTATAAGATTAATCAAAAATGTTGCTTTCACTTGTCTTAGTTCCTTACAACTTTGTTACGCAGTTGCTGTTCTTTTATCATAGGCTAACCCTGATTTAATCGATTTCTTTATGTGTGTGTTGTTTGTGCCTGCTATAGGAAATGCATCTGGAATTGCTCAACCTCATTATCTTGTGTTTGTTGAGCTAAAGGGTTTGAGAAACCTCTCAGAGGAACAAAGATACAAGGTAACTGTCAATAATGTTTATTTAATAAATTTAAGAGACTATTCTCTTACTCATTATATTCTTTATTGATTTTTAAATCCAACAGTTAGACCAGTCCCTGCAGGAGGACTCTTCCATCTACAAATCCTATAGGATCAAGGGCAGCATTGGACCAATGAGAGTTCAGCTTGTCCGCAATGGCACTTTCAAAGAACTGAAAGATCACATGATGGCATTCTCTAGTGTTTCGTCTAACACCTTCAAAATGCAGCGTGTGATACGCAGGAAAGAATTTGCTGACTTTCTACTGCAGAGGGCATTATGAGCATTTCAATTCGAAAATATTTTGTTGCATACTAGTTTTATATATACAAAGAGTGGTAAATAATACATTGGTGGGTCGATTCATCTAAAAAGACTGTGATTGCTGTGTTTAAGTGTTTGGACCTGCCATTCACAATATTTGGTCAACCAGTAGCATGAGTTGGAAATACGTGTTTGTCCAAGTCGTACAGGCGAGAAACATGATAGCAGAACTGCTTGTTGTTACTAGAACAATGGTTCTTAATGGTGGAGGACTACAGTACTGCACATTTTAAATGTGTTCATCATTAGAAAATGGTTGGATTAGCTACCAAAAAAGTCTATTTATTAGGTTGTTTTTGTAAAAATATTGCAGGTATTTATAACAAGAAAAATAAAATTATGTATTAAACACCATAATTAAAAAATATATATGATCGAATGCATCCATTCCTGTTATTTATTAATTTAAAACCAGTGGGGATGGTATTCTAATAAAATGCATATGTTGTAACATCCAGTTCTCTCACTTAAGCTCCCATTTTTATGTAATATTTTTATGATTTTTAAATTAAAGTATTTATTTTATTCATCCTATTTCATCCCGTATTACCTGTGAACCTTTCCCCAATAAACTATATTATCCATATTTATATACCTACATCTGCAGTCACTATTTTATCACTCAATTATATCAGTGTTGGGGCATACATGCACACTGCAAAACTGTCACTGCCAATGAAATAAATGACCTTTTATTTGTTCCTTTTAACCAATGATGTTCGCAATGGAGTATTAGACTCATTCATACTTCGACTCACAGCAAGAAGGTCTCTGGTGCGAGCCTCGGCTCAGTTGACGTTTCTGTGTGAAGTTTGCATGTTCTCCCTGCGTTCGCGTGGGTTTTCACCACAGTCCAAAAACATGCGGTAGAGGTGAATTGGGTAGGCTAAATTGTCCGTAGTGTATGAGTGTGTGTGGATGTTTCCCAGAGAAGGGTTGCAGCTGGAAGGGCAACCGCTGAGTAAAAACTTGCTGGATAAGTTGGCGGTTCATTCCGCTGTGGCGACTCCGGATTAATAAAAGGACTATGCCAAAAAGAAAATGAATGAATGACTGAATGAATGAACAATTCATCTTTTTAGATATAATGTATTATTTTATTTTACATTATTGTATAGAATTTGGGTGCAGTGGGTAGCATGTTCGCCTCACAACAAGAAGGTTGCTGGTTTGAGCCTCAGCTGGGTCAGCTGGGCATTTCTGTGTAGAGTTTGCATGTTCTCCTGTGTTCATGCGGGTTTCCTCTGTGTGGTTCGGTTTCCCCCACAGTCACAGGACATGCGCTAAAGGTGAAATGGGTAAGCTAAAATTATCCGTAGTGTATGTGTGTGAACGAGAGTGTATGGGTGTTTCCCAGTGACAGGTTGCTGGAAGGGCATCCACTGAATAAAACATATGCTTTATAAGTTGGCAGTTCTATCCACTGTGGCAACCCCTGATTAATAAAGGGACTAAGCTGAAAAGAAAATGAATGAGTGACTAAATGAATAAAATGATGGCAGTTTATCATAAACATACATTATTTAGCATGTCTGAACAGTCAGCTGTTTGCAGTAAATTCAAAATCAACATAGTTTTCATTCTATAAGTGCAACTATTTTTAATTCTATATCTGTAACCAACATTTCTGAATGTTTTTAAAGAGATAGTTCACCAAAAAAATTCAAATATGTCAGAATTTACTCACCTTTCACTTTTTCCAAAACATATTTGAGTTTCTTCTGTTGAAAATATATATTTAAAAAAAGTCTGGTTGCTGGAAACAATGACATATTATAATGGGCTCAATGCGTAATTCCCACTATGGAAGTCAATGGGTCTCAGCAACCAGCATTCTTCAAACTATAATCTTTTGTGAACAGAAAAATTAAACTCATAATGATTTAAAACCATATGAGGAAGAACAAAATTATAAATATTTTTCACATTTTTGGGTGAACTGCCACTGCCAATGGAATAAATGACCTTTTATACATTCCTTTTAGCCAATGATGTACGCCATGGTGTATTAGTATTATTGTTACTTGAATTATAGTTATGATTATACATATACTCATGCTATTTCATATTCTATTTGCTATTGAAATTTTTGATAAAGAAGATGCATATTGGTAGTACATATCTCTTTATACCATAAAATATATTTTACAAGTTTGTGCTTTCTTACTTCTAGGTAACTAGAGTTTTTCTCACCCTAAAATTCGAACCAGTTAATAAAATAAAAGCGTTATTGTATTTTAAAACCGAGAAAACAGCAGCTCCTTCATTCAGTTGCGTCTGTTTAAAGCGCAATGATGACCGGACTAAGATGGCGGCAACCGTTGCTGTGGTTACCATTAGGCGTAAAAAAGAATGTGTTCGAAAAACGTTCGATGACGTTGAGAAGCTAGTGTGAACAGCATTATGTGTTTGACCATTGCTGACATTAGCGGTATGTAAAAGTCTTTCTAAAAGTATAAGCTTAAGGTTGTTATATTTGGTTGTTTCGACATGCTTTTGGATGAAGGCCACTAAAGATTTAAGTATTTCTGTCATGTTGTTTCAGTTTATTATATTAGTGTTTTTTACGTCTTGTTTTCGATCAGACTGTAGATTGTACTGCATGTTGGTTTGAATTAGAAATTGGGAGATTGCTATATTGTTGACTTGTCAATTTCAGGATTTTATATATCTTCTTTAGTAACCTGTTTATAATCGTAGAATGCCATTTGTTATGTTGTCAGGTTGGTAGACTGATAGATACAATATTTTTGTTTGTACGCTTCATTTGAATGTTGCTATATTGTTAAACATGTACAGATTGTTATTTGTTATATCATCAGATAAGTTGGTCTGTTATATTATTTGTTTGGTGTCAGCTTTAACATACATTCCATATTACTGTTATAATATTTATTTGTAGTTTATGTTGCGGCCTGTGCTATATACAGTTTTACTAATTATTGTAACATGTTTATCTATTCTAAGTTTACAGATTGTTATATTGTAGAGTATTTATAGCTGAGAAAATTACTTGTTAGTGTTTGTAGAACCAGACTAAAGACAATGGTAGATGAAACTTCCAAAAAATGGTATTAAATTTAATTAATGACTTGACATCTTTCTATCAAATTTTACAGATCGGAATTTACCACAGGGAGAAAAAAAAGTAATAACAATAACTGGAAATTGATGGTCAGGAATTTCAGATGGATGGGTGCAACGTCCTGGACGTCCTGCCAAGATGAAAGGGTGGTGTTTGGTATAGATCAGTGGTTCTCTAACTTTTTTACCTTTCTTTTTCAAAGAATTTGTCTCTCCAAGTCCCACCTAATGACTAACATGAAAATATAGTAGTGTAGCAGGCCTAGTTATTCAGCTACAGCTCTGCACAGTTCAAAAACAAGCCAGATTTATTCATAAAATAATGTCAGGCACTTTAAACATTATAAATAGTTTAAACATTAACACTGTACTGTGCTTACCTTTAAATAAAAATGTGTTTAAAAGTTAATCGGTACTGTTCATAAAAAGTAAAAAATAAATAAATAAAATGCTGTACTTAAAGATGAAGTATTAGAAAACAGTAGCCTATATTAATCAAAATCTGGAAATGTAGCTTGGACTTCATACATTTTTCATACATTTTGATAAATTATTTTTGATACATTTTTAAATATGCTGCATGTACATATGACATATTTGTAGGGGGGAGACCGTGGATAGTTGTACTTTTATTATATTTCGCTATAGATCTTTGCGATCTTGAGTTATGAGTGTCTGATATTAAATGGCATACACAGTATTTTTGCAGCACAAACAGGAGTGAAATGTTACAATTCACTCTGGGTTAGTTGTAACACACCCCATTGTGGGATGGAAATTCTGATTTCCACCGGGGTGAGAAACATTATAAAATAAGAATTATGAACAAAAAAAATGAACTTTTTATTTAACATTGATCTTTCAGTATAATTTGTGTTTACAAAGCTGAATAAAATGTGTAAATGTGCATCAGTTTCAACAATTGTGCTTCATGATCCCAAATTGAACTCAGGTCAAACTCAAACTACTTTGACTTCTTTTTATTTCAATAATTACAAGAATACTGAAATTAAATCATACAAATACAGTTTAAAATCTTCTTGGGGTTGGTGGTGACATTACACTGATGTTACTATTGGTGCAAAAGTTTTGTTGTTACAACTGACCCAGCATCTTGTAGCCATGAATCTGTTCTCCTTACAGCTAACAGCTTAAACATTATCACCAACAATGTGGATTAAATATATCCACACACAGACACAAATTACATGGGGTTAACTACAAATCAGGCATTGCTTTCTTAAAAATCATTTAAACAAAAAATATGACTTTCTTAGCTCAAATGTGTTTTTTCCCATCTAATATCTGCTGTGTCTGTCACAGGACTCTACTTTTTCATATGTGGTATGACGACTAATGTGAGCTTGTGGGAAGTGAATTAACTGATTTGTTACTAGTTCCTGGTTGTAAAGATTGGAAGTTCCAGTGAACTATTCCCGGTCTCCTCCTTGAAATATAAACAGTAACTTGTATTTCAAATATATGATTCATATTACATATTTAAATTACAAATTAGATCTGTGTACAGCGCGTCATTTGCAGTATGCATGTTGGAAAGTCAGCGAGTGGTTATAAATACACTGTTTGACCTATTCATACAAGATTTATCAATTGATGTGAATTGATTTGGTGGAATTAAGATTATATCTTAAGTAAACCGTGGAGTTTGCATAAACTGCACCCGACAATCATTTTCAGACCAACTCGGGTAGGGTTCACGGGTCCTCCGCCTGTGCACACAGAGACTAACTTTAATTTTTGTGTTTCTCCAAGCTTAAAACATTTCAAATTAGCCTAAGTCTATACAGTACAGGGAACAGCCAATGCTGATCACATCGGTGTTATCGTACGAGTCAAAGGGTAAAAGAGTATTCATATATTTGTAACTATTATTCAGTGATTCCTCCACGTACCACTGAAGGGAAGCCTGTGTACCACACTTTAAGAACCACTGATATAGATAGTTAGATAGGCCTTGTCTGTGTCAGGAGAGCAGGCAGAAGAGGTAGACTCACGAGAGAATCTGTGGACAATTAGGTAAAAAATCCTGGAGAACAGAAGGTAGGGTTTTGTTGGGGCTGTCTTTATTTATTTATTTTTTTTTGCAGATTGGAGTGGAGCAGGAGACTTAAAAGGGGAACGATGGAGATAAACTTGAAGACCTGAAGCTCAGGAAGCAGGTAGAATGGCTTGAACCAACTGAACAATGCAGTTAGTTTCCAAAGAAATGTATTGCGATTTATTAAAGACTTGATATTTTTCTTTTTGATAGATTGGCATGGAGCATGTGGAGAAACAGGGAATCACACCTCAGTAATGACAAGTGCATTGTTATACATTAGGTGCTGCCTCAAATTTTTAGAAGTTGAATCAAATAAATTTTATAAAACATTTTTTTCAGTTATACAATTTTATTTTTCGAGTGCAAGTGTCACAGAAGGGACAGGATTCTGGTCAGTAATGTAAATGATGATCATTTACAGGATGGCAGGGGAGTATAAGCAGGTGAGTATA